CCCTTCTTCTTCATATAGTCAATGGGTTTTATGGCAGCCCTACCTCTAGTTTTTTGAGGAACCACCAGACTGTTTTCCACAGTAGTTGTACCATTTTCATTCCCACCAGCAACGGATGAGGGTTCTAATTTCTCCACATCTCCCTCTAATACTTGTTATTTTCAGTTTTTTGTTCTTTTTTTTTTTTTTTCTTACTCATCCTAGTGGTAGTGAAATGGTATCTCATTGTGGTTTTGATTTCCATTTCTCTGATGGATAATGATTTGAGCATCTTTTTATGTGTTTGTTGACCATTTAAATATCCTTTTTGATGAAGTATCTGTTCATGTCCTTTGCTCAGTTTTTGATTGGGTTGTTTGTCTTTTTATTGTTCAATTGTAGGAGTTTTCTATACTTTTTAGATACTAGACCCTTATCAGTTATACCATTCCTGAAGGTTTTTTTCCAGTTTATAGATTGTCTCTTTACTCTTTTGATAATTTTTTTTTGGTGAACATAAGTATTTAACTTTTATGAGGTCTCAGTTATCTAATTTATTTTCTGCTTGTGCATTTGTTGTTGTGTTTGATAATCTATCATTGAAAAAAAATTAGATCCCAAAGTTTGGCTCCTATATTTTCTTCCAAGAACTTTATGATTTTAGATTTAACATTTAGGTCCTTTATCCATTTTGAATTAGTTTTTGTTTATGGCATGAGCTATGGATCTTGTTTCATTTTTCTGTATGCGGAAATCCAGTTTTGCCAGCACTATTTGCTGAAAAGCCTGTTCCTTCCCCACTAAACAGATTTGGCTCCCTTCTCAAAAATCAATTGACCATAGATGTTTGAATTTATTTCTGGGTTTTCAATTCTACTCCACTGGTCTATATGTCTATCATTGAACCAGTACCAGACTGCTTTGATTACTGTACTGTATAATGTATTTTGAAGTTGGGAAGTATGAGGACTCCTACTTTGTCCTTCTTCTTCAAAATTACTTTGGCTGTTTGGGGTCTCTTCTCTTTCCATGTAAAATTGAGGATTAGCTTTTCCATTTCTGTAAAGTATGCTGTTAGAATTTTGATCGGGATTGCATTATATCTGTAGATAGCTTTGAGTAATATTGACGTCTTGACTATATTAAGTCTTCCAACCCATTACCGTGGAGCATCTTTCCTGGCAGTGTTTTCTGAATTGTGCATCAAGGAATCCAATATTCCAGATATGTCAAAAGGTATTATACCCCAAGCAGGTTCTGTGTTCAAATAAGTCTGGGAAGCAGTGGGTTAAACAAAATTACTGTAAGACTTTTCAGGGCCTTTAATGTTATAATTCTAATGTACGTTGTGAATCTTCAGGAGGAAGGTATGACGTGCTCTATTTTTCTCAAGAATATTTAACCACTGATATCAGCTTTTTTCCTCCAAAGTATCAGCTAGGGCCATAAATACAATTTGGGAAAATCCACTTGGTATAGACACTTAAACCTTCTATGTGAATCATTGCCTTCCAAGGTCCTATGTCTAGCAGATTAGTTTTTGAATCCAAAGCTTAACTAAAGGTAGGGAAAGGAGGAGTGTTGAGAGTGGGAAGGAAAAGAACAAGAAAGAGTATGAAGTATACATAGTGGAAAAGTGTGGTGAAGAAGAAGAATGAAGAGGGTGAAGGCACTTAAAAAGACAATTGAGAGCGAGAAGAGAGAACTGTTATCTTAGGACATCTTTATTGATGTGAAAGTTGATATTGCTGTTTGAGAACTGAGCAAATACTTGTGTGTGAACTTTGATGATGATTATTACTATAATTGGATACGCAAAACATGAAGCAATAGGCATCTTGAAAAGTAGAGCTACTGCATTTGACCAGGTTTATTCAAATACTAGACACTCTGTTATTGAGCTAGACTAGTTTTCAAGTTATTTTAATGCTATGTTGATGTGATAGTAATGTTGTACAAATGAGAGAAATATAAATAAAATAGTTTTATAAAAGGAAAAGAAAAGATAATGTTGGAGAGTAAGAATTTTTACTGTAAGTGGTAGAAATGGTAAACAATGGAGGGGAGATCTAGCTATATTTTGGAAGTGAAAGTAGACAATATCATATCTCAAGATGAGGCTGAGCATGGCTTGGTGAATGTCAGCATGTCTAAGTAGACTGGGAGAGACTAAGACTTGGATTTAAAAACTGCCCTTTGCAGTAAGGTAATCACTAGAAAGGCAAATTGAGCCATCCATTAGGCAGAAACCAGTGGGCATGGTACTAGATCCCAGGTGACCATGTCCTGCACATAAAACCATGTATATACACCTACTCCTCACATATCAACCATCACATTATCTAACATTTTGCATTTACGACAATAGTAAAAAATCTACTATCTGACTATTTTGCACATTAATGACATACATCTGCAGTAACGAATGCCATGGTGCAAGGTGAGAGTAAAGCTTCCTGTGATGTTTATCTGTCAGCTTGGCTGGGTCATGATTCTTAGTGGTTTGGAAGTTATGTAATGATGTAATTTGGCAGTTATGTAATGATGCAATTTGACAAGTATGTAATGATGTGGTCATTCTCCATTTTCACATCACTAATTTTTTTTAAATAATAACATGGCCTTTGGAACCTAACCATGTCAATAAGTGAAGAGTGGGTGTAGTTGTCTATAGGACATTGTTTGGAGTTCAGGAATAGGATATATTCTCTGGAGTATGGTCTGCCAAGAGCAAGACAGAGCTGTTCTTCTCGAGGGCCTGTTATACACAGCAGACTATTGATACAGAAAGGGTTCACGTATGAGAAATGAAGGAAGCCCTGAAAACTGGTATCAAACCTGGGACAGAGGGGTAGGCCAGCCTATAAACACAGACAAGGATGACTCTGGATCATAGAGAATTGATCCAAAGTTGGTGAAATCACCAGCCTCAAGTCCTAGAAATGAGACTAGGCCTGAGCCTATCAATTTGGGTTAAAGAAGTAAAGTCAAGTGGTTCCAACTATGGCAGAGGATAGTCAGGGGTTGGGACCCCAGCAAGTTGGACAGATAGAAGTTGGAGCTCTCAGGGGTCTTTAGCCTTTCATTTTGTAAAATCCAGTGACATTGCCAGGTATTTCATCTAAGCCCAGATTGAATGCAGTGAACTCTTCTCTGAAGCATCTCCCTTGGCATTTTCATGGAGAGATTTTGGGAAGTTAGAGCACAGAATACTCCTGCAGTTCCTGTGATACTCTGAATTTCATAGTGGCTTAGTTGGGCTTGTCTTACCGGTTGTTAGTTCTGTGAGAGTTGTTGTTAGGTGCCATCATGTCAGTTCCAACTCACAGTGACTCTATGTACAACAGAACAAAACACTTACCTGTGTTTGAGCCCATTGTTGTAGCCACTATGTCAATTCATCTTGTTGAGGATTTTCCTCTGTTTTGCTGACCCTCTACTTTACCAAGCATGATGTCCTTCTCCAAATAGTAGTCCCTACTGATGACATGTCCAAAGTATGTGAGACAAAGTCTTGCCATCTTTGCTTCTAAGGAGCATTCTGCTGTACTTCTTCCAAGACAGATTTGTTTGTTCTTCTAGCAGTCCATGGTATATTCAATACTCTTTGCCAACACTGTAAGTCAAGAGCATCAATTCTTTGGTCTTCCTTACTCATTGTCCAGCTTTCACATGCCTATGAGGCAATTGAAAATACCATGGCTTGGGCCAGGCATACCTTAGTCCTCAAGGTGACTCTTTGCTTTTTGACACTTTAAAGAGGTCTTTTGCAGTAGATTTGGGCAGTGCAAAACATCATTTGATTTTTTGACTGCTGCTTCCATGGGTGTTGATTGTGAATCCAAGTAAAATGAAATCCTTGACAACTTCCGTATTTTTTCTGTTTATCATGATGTTGCTTCTTGGTCCAGTTGTGAGGATTTTTGTTTTCTTTATGTTGAGGCGTAATCCATACTGAAGGTTGTAGTCTTTGATCTTCATCAGTAAGAGCTTCAAGTCCTCTTTGCTTTCAGCAAGCAAGTTTGTGTCATCCACGTATCACAGGTTATTAATGAGTTTTCCACCAATCCTGATGCCGCGTTCTTCTTCATATAGTCCAGTTTCTTGGATTATTTGTTAAGCATACAGATTAAGTATGATGAAAGGATGCAACCCTGATGCATATCTTTCCTGATTTTAAACCATACAGTATCCCCTTTTTCTGTTGGAACAACTGCCTGTTGTTCTATGTACAGGATCCACATGAGCACACACAATGAAGTGTTCTGGAATTCCCATTCTTCGCATAGTTCTCCATAATTTGTTAAAATCCACACAGTTGAATGCCTTTGCATAGTCAGTAAAACACAGGTAAACATCTTTCTGGTATTCTCTGCTTTCAGCCAAGATCCAGCTCACATCAGCAATGATATCCCTCATTCCATGTCCTCTTCTTAATCCGGGTTGAATTTCTGGCAGTTGCCTGTCAATGTACTACTGCAAGTGTTTTTGAATTATCTTCAGCAAAATTTTATGTGTGTGATATTAACGATGTTGTTTGATAATTTCCTCATTCTGTTGGATCACTTTTCTTTGGAATGGGCACATATATGGATCTTTTCCAATCAATTAGCCAGGTAGTTGTCTTCCAAATTTCTTGGCATAGACAAGTGAATGCTTCCCGTATTATATCTGTTTGTTGAAACATCTCAATTGGTATTCCATCAATTCCTAGAGCCTTGTTTGGACATCTGTGTTTTTTAAAACTCCTCCAGGCCCTCTGTCTGTTTTGTCTATATCGTGATCCTTAGCGTTTAATACAGCACTCATCTGTGGTAGGGGTTAAAGAAATATTTATTGATTAATTCAGAAGGTGTTTGTGGCCAGAGAAGCAGAGCAGGGACTGGGTGCACTAGAAGTTATAAATTGTCTCCTTAGAAACTGAAATTGACCATTTGATGGTTATCAGAAGACATAATTGAGGATTGGAGGTCTGCTACCTATTCTGTGCTCAAAGATGCTTTCTGAATCTTCCATTACAGGTGGTGTTGTCCTCAACCCCGCCTATTATGGCATGCCTGGCCATACCAACATCATGATCCATGAGGTGGGGCATGTCCTGGGACTCTACCATGTCTTCAAAGGGGTCAGTGAAAGAGAATCCTGTGATGACCCCTGCAGGGAAACGGTGCCATCCATGGATACAGGAGACCTCTGTGCTGACACCCCCCCCACTCCCAAGAGCAAGCTATGCCAGGACCCGGAGCCTACCAATGACACCTGCGGCTTCACCCACTTCCCAGGAGCTCCATTCAGCAACTACATGAGCTACACAGGTATCACAACAGCCAAGATTTTTTTGTTTTCCATTAAGATTATATGGGGGCCTGTTGGGGTCTGGGAGGGATTGTCGGAGGTGTAGAAGATTATGAAGTGGTCATTTGTGCCAATTTGTGTTAGAGAGTTGAAGTATATTTATCATGGTGTACTCTTTTTGTTTTATGTCTTTGAAGAAGTTAAAGAAATACTGAGGTATTAAGGGGTCTTGTTTACTGCACTGTTCTCTACCAGAGATTTAAAAAATATAAGCACTTCTACCTTAGATTGTTAAAAAAAAAAAAAAAAGGGACAAAATGAAAAGCCTTCTTGAGGTCCCTCCCACCTCTGAGACTTGGTCTTTCTTGTTCTTGCCCACATCCTTTAGGCATTTACTCTGAAGGAGTGTCCAGTAAAGAAGGGAAAAGAGGTTTCTAGGTCAAGGTGGTTGCTTGTGCTATTTTGAAGAGGTCTATTTAATTTTATGCTTAGGATTACTTTTTTATTTTATGCTCTCAGAAAAAAAGTATCAGATTCTGTCTTCCAACAATAGCCAAGGAGTAATTCTTAGCTTGCCTACCGAAATGTGGCACGATCTCATTTTAAAAATGGTATTTCCCTGACCCTGGTACCATTGCATTGCCAAACTGGTTGTCGTCCTCAGTCCAGTTCCTTAATTCTCCTTCCCTGTCCTCTCACACCTTCCTTGTTTCTGGAGAAAAGCAATGCTAGCCACCGTCTCCTGATAATGAGACTCACATTTATCCCAAATACTAAAGACTGATTTGATTTGATGACATTCTCCAATGGAGAAGGAAGGAGGTAAGTTTTCTATTAGGCCCAAGGGCTTGTTTGGTGATAAATTCTAGAATTTAACTAGAAGGACAAGTTCTATAATGGTATCTGAGTTTATTTTAAAGGATAAGCCACCAGACCCTGACCATGCCTTTCAAAAGGAAAACAAACAAACAAACAAACAAAAAAAACCCTTTTGTGACCTATGAAGATGTTTCTAAGTTTCGCTTTGATGAATAATCCAGGCTCATCAAATTCATAAGCACCAGCACCCCTCTCTCCCCAACAAGCACATGGTGGCACTTACCAGGGGCAGAGAGATCTGACACTGGGCTGCAGAAAGCAGAGCTGTTTAGTTACCACCTTTGAGGTGGGGAGAGGAAGGAGCTATGGAGCAGGGGAAGTATGTGACTGGTGTGTTTTCACTAAGATATAACTTTCCACCCCTATGAAAAATGTGTCCACAAGAGGGACTTTGCCTGCTCCAATGGTAAGACTGGGACCATCATTCGTTGACATTTTGCCTCTCTTTCCCCTTGAGTATTATCACTGAATACTTAATCACTTTGGCTAGTGTCACTGGGCAATATAGCAGGTGTTTGTAAAACCGCGGAGATTCATAAATAAAAAGACCATATGCTGAAACACTGCCATCTGGTGGTTTGATGAATAAGCAACCAACAGTTCTGAACAGCCCTGCACCCCAGGACATGAGCCTCAACCTAGTCCAGCCCAACATCAAGGTCATGGCCCTGTTTTAGAGATCAGAAAGCACTACGTTTCTGCCTTCTCTTTCCCACTTTCAGCCTAGAAATGTTCTGGGCAGAATACATTTATTAATTCAACAAGTATTTATTAAGCCTAATAAGTGCACAGTGGTGTCATAGATGCTGAGGATTCAGTCATGAGCAAGACAGAATTGACCTTTGCCTTTATGAATTTCACAAGTTAAAACCTCATCTCTTGTGCTCCTCTTTTGTCTCTGCAGATGATGACTGCACTGACAGCTTCACCCCTAATCAAGCGGCCCGAATGCATTGCTATTTGGACCTTGTGTACCAGCAATGGAGTCAAAGCAGAAGGCCTACCCCCATTCCTATTCCACCCATGGTCATTGGGCAAACCCACAAGTCCCTCACTATTCACTGGCTGCCTCCAATTAGTGGAGTTGTGTATGACAGGTAAGAGAGGTGCTTGCCATGGCTGAGGCTGGTACAGTATTCTCTGAGGGCATAAGGAGTGTGGACATTTCTTATGAACAAGGGGAAGCATGTGAAGTGAGGGGAACCCGAAATTGAAGCTATAACTGTGTGTACCACTGCTCAAGGGATGTCTCCTCACCCAGCACAGTTCTCATCTTCTTAGCCATGGCTCATCACGTGTGCACACTCCTTGGGGATGGACCTGCCAGATGTTTCCTTGGCAATGTCACATCTGGCCAGCCTCCTGGAGCTGTGAAGGAGTTGACAAAAGAAAGTGACAGAGATTAAGTGGCAGAACAGAGAGGCATTTGCCACCTCTCTAAGTCAGCCATTCCTCCTTGGTGTGAGGGTGGGGCAGTGGCTTGTAACTTCCAGAATGGTGTTAAGGCGTGTTCTCCAGGTAGTTCTAGGGTAGGGGTGGGAGACTGTGCATTGCTCCAAACTGTGCATCGGGGCTCACTGGCTTACGGGGCCATCTCTGACGCCGTCTCTGCATCCTGTTGCATCCTATGCTGCCCTCTCTTATGGCCACTATTTTGTGGAATTGTCATTATCTGTTCGTTTTTCTATCTTTCCCACTAGATTGGGAACTTCTTGGAGACAGGACTATTTTTGTGTCTGTCTCTTCGCCTGACACAATGGACACCTATGTTGTGTTTATTAAAGGAAAAACATTAGACCTGAAACTTCAGCTGTCATTCATTCTTTTAATCTATCAGAGAAGTTTTTGGAAAAAGGAGAGAAGGTATGAAAAAGCGTGACAGTTGACAGTTGATGGTGGTATGAGAGAAGTGGCTTAACTAAGGAGGAACAGAACCTCAACCATGACCTTGGCAGAGTCACCTCGCTCAAAACCTGCTTTACGAGTTGTCAGCAAGTTGACTCCAACTCATGGTGACCCCATGGGTGTCAGAGTAGAACTGTGCTCTATAGGGTTTTCAACGACTAATTTTCTGGAAGTAGATTGCCAGGCCTTTCTTGATTCTAAATAATAAGAAGAGCTGTTGTTTATTTGGTGCTACTATGTGTGAAGCATTGTGAGAAGTATTCAACCTACAATCATCGTATTTAGTCCTCGCAATAAGCACAACTCCTGTTATATAAATAAGAGATCCAAGGCATAGAGAAATAGCCAGTGGCTAGCCCAAGACCCCACAACTAAAGAGAGGTGGATTTAGGGGATAAAACATTGATGTTGGAATTTCAGAAATGGGCAAGCAGAAATAGATGATTTCTTTGAAGTTAGGACATTCTCATTTAGCAGGTGGATCACCCCTCTTCCACTTGCCACACCTCCCCTCTAGGTGTCAGGCTCCAGCTGAGAAGCTGGACGTCCCTGGAATATGTTTACATGCACCCCAGCTTTGCAGAACAGTGGGGAAGTGAGGAAAGGGAGACACAGGGATAGAAGGAAGCCAGTGAATAATTTTTTAAAGTGCCATTCCCAGCCTTCTGCAGTCTTGACAGCTGTCCTTGATGCCTTGATAATACCTAACACATGAAATCACTTAGACCTCACAGCCCTATAAAGTTGTTATTATTGCCATCCGCACCCAAGCTCACACAGGTTTTGTTTGTGAGTCAACACACGTCTATGTGATGCGCGAAAGAACCATCTTCCTGCAAGTGTGTTCTTGAGCAGCTTTGGATGGATTGGCTGAACAGTAAGTCCTCAGAGGTATGTGCAAAGCAGAGTTTTACATCAGTTTATGTAACACATGTAAACAATTTAATCTTTCCATTCTCTCTCTGGTACAAATGTTACGAGAAAGCAGACATCAGTGCTGGCTTGCTACAAGTCTGTTGGCAGAAAAGGCTACAATTTGCTCCCTTTTCTCAGCTAGGTGGGCCCCAGTTTTGAGTCCTCCCGATACGTGTGTCAGGGAGACTCACGTCACATACCCGGCGATTTGTGTCATGCTCTGGGTTATGTTTACTCCACCCCAGTAGGTATTTGGAATTCTTGTGTCAGAGAGGAGCCCCGGCTACGCACTCAGCAGCGGCCCCGGAAGGGCCAAGTGCATCAAGGAAATGTGGTTTTGAGTTGTGTCCACATTAGAAGTGAGTGCCGATTAGAGTCAGAGGTTGGAGCTTAACTACACCTTTTAGTTGCCAAAGTACTGGATACTAGATGATGCTTGGAAGCACGCTCAAAGGAATTCAGGAACTTGTTATGTGACCTCAGGCAATTTACTTAACCTCTCTGAGCCTGTGTTTCCTCACTTGTAAACACAGGGTTATTACAGGAATTAGAGGTAATTTATGAAAAGCTCCTAATGGCACAGTGCCAGGTATATAGAAATTACTTAATAAAAGGGAGATGCTATCATAATTATTACCCCTACTTAAAAATACTGTTTTTCTAGCATATTACAAGATATTACTTTTTCTCCTTAACTGTTGAGACTTTGATTTAATGCTTGCATTTTCAGATGTGTCATTCATAACTGTCTCTATAAAGATTCCAAGTATCCGAGACAAGCCTCATAAAATGATCTCCCCTTGTTATTTAGCTATTGTTGGCTCTACCTCTTCAAGCACAAATTTGGTGCTTGAAGGGCTCTTCATAGATTGTATTAATAGCCTCATATATGTTCATAAAACAAGCATTTACAGAAAGACTGCTGAGTTCAGTCCCTGTGCTAATTGCTGGGAATAGAAGAATAGAGTTTGGTCTGGATATGCTCACAAGCAGATGAGAAAGAAGAGTGTGAATGGAAATTCTTAACACCTCAGAGCAGCGCTCTAGGGAGGAGCCAGCACGTGCAGTGGGAGCACAGAGGAGGGATTGCCAGCCACTCTGAGGAGTCAGACTAAGTGCTATCACAAAGGCTACATGTAAATGGGTCTTGAAGGGTGAGTAGGAGTTTGCTAAACAGAATAGCTGGGGAAGGCTGTTTGACTGCAGCGAGAACAGTACGTTTCAAGGATCTGTGTGAGGGACATGATGCATTTGAAATGCTAGAAGTTAATTGTGAAGGGTGCATTAAGTTCATGAAGGAGCTGTGGTAGGTGAGGCTGGAGCTAGCAGGTGAAGGACCTTGGGTCATGGTTAGGAAAATAGATGTATCCCCATAAGCAATGGAGAGAAAGGGATATTTTATAAATGCATCAGATTACATCTGTGTATGTGAAGAGTAGGGAGTTTAAAAATATAATAACACATGTAACTAATAAGTTTACTCTGAAAATGGTTGTCTTTATTAGTGGGGAAATTGCAAGGGGTCTTTGGATGCCTTATTGAGAATCAGGGTGGAAAGGAGTTTTATGTTGAAAGATTCAAATTTTAGTTGTTTCGTGTTTAATGTTTTTAGGATAGAAGCTGCCTCCGTTCATCTCCACAGGCCTCCTTTATGACTTAGTTAAATTTTTCTGCTTCATGATCTTGAGATTTTCATGTCACTATGAATTTTGCTAAGATGAGGTCTACCTGAGAAGGAAATGAGTTGAGAAACAGTTGTGTTCTCAGTTATCCTCGAGGGCCTCATTAACCATCTCATACCCCTCCTCCCTCAAAAGGTCTTGGAAATTTCCTTATTCTGGTTCATCAGATGGATTCTCCCCATCTTTCTCCCTTTGTCTTCTCAGGGACCTAGGAAGTCTGTGTGGAGCCTGCACTGAAGACGGGACGTTCCGTCAGTACGTACACACAGCTTCCTCCCGGCGAGTGTGTGACTCCTCAGGTTACTGGACTCCAGAGGAGGCTGTGGGTAAAGTACCATAGCTTTTTGATCTATACCTTGGTGGCCACTGAGAATGGGTGTGGAACATTCTCTTGTTGTGAAAAGCAGTGACAGGGTAAGGAAAGGTAGCATGTGGTGTGAGTGTATGTGTGTGCATGTGTATGTATGTGTGTGTGTATGTATGTGTGCACAAGCGCATTTTTCTGGATAACTTCAGGTGCCTCAGAAAGACTCTGCCTGGCACCTCTGGGTGCTAAGTATCTCATGTGTGGTTTATGTGGAAGCCTAATGTCTGTGGTGAAGCAGAGATTGGCATGTAGGACAGAGTGATGAACTGAATTCAGCCCAACTCAAGGGGTGACTTCAGGGTGAGATGTCTCAGGAGTGTAGTGTTATATGTGTCTACAGGCCCAAGGAACAGCCTTGCCACAGGGCAGTGTAAGCTGATCTTACTCCTCTATATCAGGAGAGGAACAGGGAACACACTGCAGAGAACACTCATGCACTGGCTGAGCCACTCTGGGTGGGGGTAGGGTGAACTAGGTGTTCCAAACTGATCGTTCTGATCTATGCTATTTTATGAGTCTATTAATCACTGGTACTGGTTGTGCTTGGGATATGATCTAAGCTAGGCTCTGGGAGGGCGAAAATGTTTTTATCTGTCCCTTTCCCTCTCCCCTAGCTTCTCAAACACTTACACACCTCACACACATATATGTATCATTGCCTCAAAATAAATTAGAGCATGAATCTTTTCACAACTCAAGTCCAAAAAATACTGTTGATACTTGGTTTTAGTGCCTCCTCCTGATGAATGGCTTAACTTCTTCCATCATCACCATCTTCAGTGTTAACCTGAGCATCATCTTTTTTCTTTGCTTTTTTTCTCACATGTATTAAGATCCTAAAAGGCACTCAGTAAGATGTGTTGGACACAGTCCTATTTCAACTAGTCTGCAGTCTTCACTCTGACAGGAGAAAAAAGAGGGCATTGGTCTTAGAGTCTATAACTACAGCATCTGCAAGATGTCACCTTGGACTACAGATTCTCAAGGAAAAGGAGATTCAAGAAGAAATCTGGAGGGAGACGGTTTACTTAATTGATTATATATGATCTTTCTCAAATGAGAGTTGTCAAGGAAGGATGGAAAATGAATATAAACTTTACATTGGCACTGCATTGGACTCATTTTGAGATTGGTATTCCATAAAAGGCCATTTCCATGGCCAACAGTTTTTCTTGTGCTGGTATTTTAATGCTTGTTTGACTCCCTGGTCCCATACTTTATTCTTTCTAATTCTTGAAAACATTCAATTATCTAGCAGAAGTGAAAAGAATGAGAAGTTCTATGTCCTAATTCTTGTATTGCATCTTAAAGCAAATAAAGTAAACTTTTAGGAGGCGTGGTCAACATGGCGGACTAGTTAGACGCTTCCTATATCACTCTTACAACAAAGACCTGGAAAAACAAGTGATTTGATTCTATGTGAACATCTGGCAGCCCTGAACAAGGCAAGGTTAAGAAATCCATCTGAGTCATACTGGAGAGGAAGTACCATTTGGAAGAGGTAAGGAGTGCTAGAGCCACGGCGGTGATACTGCAGAGACACAGCCACGCTGGGCCGCGGTGAAGCAGGCAAACAGCTGCGCTGTGCGCATGCTCAAGAAGCAGTTTCCACATTGAGAGAGACCCAGCAGCAGAGATTCTGCTTGAACACTCCGAACCAGTGAAGAGCAGCTCCCAAGAGGCTAGGATAAGTACATGCACACACCCTTTCGCAGCGATTTAAAAAAAAAAAAAAAAAAAACCCCATTTGGGAAAAACATCTCTCCCTTTTACCTCCTACCTGTGCACTCTGCACCGGATTTGGGAAAAACCTCTCTCCCTTTTATCTCCTCCCTCCCCACTTTGCACCGGGAGTCCACTGGGCCGGAAGTAGATCCCAAAAGGCACGCTGACCCATTCTCCTGGCCTTGGAGAGGGAACAAATAAGCTGCTGGCTCCCCTAGGCCAGGAACACAGGGTCGGCACAGCTCCTTTGCTGGCCATAGAAATCGGGTCCGCAGACTCTGAGTGCCATACACCCCTGTATAGACTTGTGGGGACCCATATCAACAGCGTTAGCCCTCACTACCACAATACAACAGGACAAACATCTGAAGTTTAACTTCAACTGCTTCAGCTGTGAACGGGCAGATTTGTAATACTCAAAACAGCCCTGCCCCTCAAGTAGGCACTTTTATCGATCTGCAGCAGGGTCTTGAGGACTGGTGGTAGCTCCTAAAGTACCTAGTCACCTGCTACAGGAGTTCAAGAAAAAGTGGTGCCCACGAGTCTTTGCAGCCAACATAATGGGGTGCTCTTAGCCCGGCTGCAAAACTCACCTACCTATTCACCCTAGAGAATAGGGACATGCTTTTTCTTTCAGAATCTCAGGGGCAGCCGTCAGCCCCCTGCCTGGCTCAGTGTGTGATCCCCTACCACAGCCAGAGTCCAGTGCCTGAACCAATCACCCATGCCTCTCTAGGACTGGGGGTGAGAGCCTGCATCACACACTTGGTGACTGACTGCCTGCACACCCGAGCTGATCCCATATAGGAAATTTTAACGGACTCTGGTGTGCACATACTTAGTTACAGAGCTAACTACCTGGTGACAGGACATTAGAGGTCAAAAGGTGTCAAAAATCAAACTAGTGCACACAAGCAGCCTATTTGGGCATATCAAAACAAAACAAAATAATCTAGGTCTCACTAAGCAAACACAAAATAAAATTATAATAAATTATTGATGGCTCGGAGACAACAGTCAGTATCAAGTCGCATGAAGAGGCAGTCCATGATGGCTTCAGCAAGCTCCCAAAATAAAGAATCAATAAATTCTCTGGAGGAAGAGAACTTCTTGGAATTACCAGAGACAGAATACAAAAAATTAACATACAAAACTCTATTAGAAATAAGAAAGGAAATTCGACATAATGCAGAAACAGCCAGGCAACATACAGACACAGTAGTAGTAGAA